CTCTACCTTCCGTTCGTCGTCGTTCCGGTACGTACGTACGTACTACAGTATATATATATATATANAATAATATACACTACACACACACACACACACACATATATATATATATATATATATATATATATATATATGTATATATATATATATGCGTGTGTGTGTGTGTATTGACTAAATTTCTCGCTCAGCATCTTGATCTGTTCTCATACTGACATATGGATGGAGTATGAATTAATCAACAATGATAATAGAACTTACGCCGGATGCACTTCGCAAGGATAGAACGTTGTCTGCTTTTGCAACCGGGGCGGGGATATTTTCCTTCACTGTAGCACTCATGGTGTAAGAATCTCTGGCCGTTGACAGTCGCGGAAGTGCTGAATTCGATGTATAGTCTACACGCAACTTTATAGCTGGAGCTGATTCGTGCTGTATTCTAAATTGGCCACTGAATGTATTTGTGCGCGATAGGCGTAGATTGCACAGCGTAAATGGTCGACCACAAAGCCTCAACATAAATGTGACTTACAAGGTGCATGGAAATACATAAGACGATACCGGGGATGCTATTACTACTCATACGCAACTTGGTTAGCAAATCACACGGACAGCTCTTCATTTGATGACTTTATAGCGTTCATTCACACAGCACAGGGGATTATACATTTATTATATCTGATTCATGTACAACCCTACACAATGTAAAAGCCAAGAACCCATGATCCATTTTCTTATAAATACAAATTAGGATCATTGGCCGTATTATAATTATTGCCAGTCCCAACTCCCAAGTCCCAACGCGCGTGGAGTTGACGCCACGCGTGGTAGTGTTCGCGGGACAATGGACAATTGAACATGTCTGCGTCGATAGGAGTTTTCAGTTTTTGACCCAAAATGAAAACAACAAGGATTTTGGGGCTTTAGGATGTTAGAGCCTTAGAGGCCTCTCGCCTGAGTCGATAGGAGTTTTTGGCCCAAAACACTGAATCAGCAAGGACTCTCTCTCTCTACAGAGAGTAGGACTTTTTATAAAAAGAGTTGTTTTGTTTTGAAAAAAGCGCTAGTGAGTGGTCTTTTTATGCCCAGAGACAGAGATTCCAAAATAAGGCAATAAGGTACAAGTGTGTTTAAAATAGGCCAATAGTTAGATATATTTGAAACACTAGGAAATCAATCAATTAGAAACTAGAAAAAGCATAAAAGTGAGTCTCATTTCCGTGTGTAATTTTTATTTTGTAAAAATAAAAACTCACTCGAAAATGTGCCTTTACATATATACAGGCCCAGCCCACGACTTCACTCACACTGTCGGCTCTGTCGCCCACGGCCACACGGCCTGTACATTAAAAAAATAATAATATTGATTATTCTTCAATCGAATAATATATCACCAATCTAAATATGAATAACATAAAAGTGGGAGCAAAATATAGTATAGCCTTCTGAAAATTGCCGGAAAAAAAGAAGGCTAAATCCATATTTATTTATGTATGATCTATCAGCTGCTGAGTAGACTCATTAGTCGTGACCTGGTTGCGATTGTGTCTAAACAGCACCTGTGACTATAAAACTATTAACACTAGAGCCCGTGTCCAAAACAGCATCCGTTCCATTCGCAAAGGTAGGGTCGATATTTATGGGCCCACGTAAGGCGACCTTGGCCCAAGTACCAAACTATTAAGCGTGTACACAGAAAAAAATCTTTACCGATACAACAGTCGGTACATAATCTACACCTATGTATCACCTAAAATAAGAGTCAATGTTCTGTTAAACTTGTGAGCGTGAATTCGTGGATCCATACATACTAAGGAATATTATAAAAAATATCGTTTCCAACCCTTCTAAATTATACAGGAGAGAAGGCTATGGCTCAACTATGTTGAATTTTGTTTTTGTCCCGTTATGTTGTAAATTTCAGGTCTAAGGGATTTTGTCCTGTTCTGTGATTTCATTACATAAACGCCATTTTTTTTCTTCAGAATAATAAAATAAATAAATCACACTTGGCTCATATAGGAATACAAGAGCACGGGCGTTAATAGTTTTATAGTCACAGGTGTCGTATAGACTCAATCCGGGTGTCCCTGCAGGCTGCACTGCAGCCTCTGGGGCAGGCTGCCAGGCACTGGGCAGTTGGCACTTGGAACTCAGCCACTCACTGTCTCTCTTTTTTTTAGTATTTACAAATTCATGGATGTACACAAATATGTAGTACATATTTTTTATAAATTAAAGAGGCTATGTATCAGTATCAGAAGACTGAACTCACAAGAGTATTTATTCGTGAAAAATATAAAATGACAATGTATACATACTCTATAAACATAGGAGTACAGAAAGGAATGCATTTACGAATGTATTTACCTCCTGTGCGTATCGAATCGATTTCTTTTTGGCAAATCATCTGTGGTGAAATTTATTGTTTGTGTATGGTAATCAAGAGCCTCAAGTCCTCAACTGTCCTCACAAGCTCTCGAAAGGTTCAACAAACTCAACTTCTCAACAGGGGCTTTGCTCTGTAAATTGTACCCTGTACTCCTGTAGGCCTCAACTTAGTTGGCGCCTCGCACTTCGTACTGCTAGTTCAATATAGTGCACATAGAATAATAAATAGTTCACACACGCCTCTTGTGTATGTTCTATCATCTACCACGAAGGTTATTTACCCCAGGTACATTTATATCACTTTCGCACGGTGATCAGGTATTATATATTTTGCTCATAGAAGCCACACTGCTAGCCAAACATCCTTAAACCGCAAAGATGCCTATGTTAGGAAAGAAATTGATTGCTGACACTTTACTGGTCGGCGATGATGATGCCTGGTATCCTGGCAAGAAAGCCCTAGAAGGCTTCAGCAAGTTGAACGAAACTCTATCTTCAAAACTTAAGCTGAACTTGGGCGGAAGTCTAAAGGACCCTATTTTGGGGCTCGAGAAGGGCTCGCTAAAGAAATATACAAAGGTGAGAGATTATAATGTCGGATACGTACGGCTTGGATCTTTTTCACTCAGTGTAAAGTGATTATAGTTTAGGTATGAGATCGTATAGCATCACCTTTCTATAAGCAAAAAGGTTGAAATTTCTGGTTGTTGGTGCCCAATCTATACTTTCGTGTGCGACCTAAAGATAGTATGAAGTCACACGCACACGAATGAGCATAATATATATATATATATATATATATATATATACATAACATACACACACACA